CAAAACTCCACTTTAGCCTCTTTCCTCGCCTGTTTTCACTAAGGAACCAAAGAGATATGCATCCTCCATCTCGTCTCGTTCACCTTCTCCTTCACCTTCCTTTCTCTTCCCCTTTCTTCTTCTTTTCCTCCTTTCCCTTCTGACTACCTCTGTAGCGCAGTGGCTTCGCACGGTCACATAACACCTCTGCACCCAATAATGAAATTGTGTCCGCGCCCTAAAACACAAAGCATCCTTGATCGTCAAATTTTGGTCTGATCGAGCAGACTGCCACTGGGATGAGCCCGCCCATGTTTGGCACCGGGTGCACTCTACTCCATTCTGTGGCATGTACGATGCCACCTACGTAGGTGAAGAGATCAATGAGATGTCGGACGAAATGCGGGTAAAAAAAAATAAATAAATAAATAATAATAATAATAAAATAAAACTCATGACCCAGCTGAACCTGCCTCGGGGGTTGGGATGGATTCAACTGACAGCTATTATGTTTCCATGGGGATCTCAATAGCTCTTGGCTATAATGAAAGCCCCTCAAAACAAGCTCTTCGTGGTAAATCTTTGCAGCACTCCTTCGTGCGGGCATACTCATCTTGCGGACCGTAGTCACCATTGGTCGTGGGCATATCGGACTGCAGTTGGATTCGAGCTTGAGTCTGTATTCCAACAGTTCATGAGTGGTACCAGTTGAGGCAGTGTCACTATTCCCACAGATCCCCTTTTCAACAGTTCGTGGGTGTACCAGCTGAGACAGTGACACTTTTCTCACTGACCCCTTTTTCAACAGTTCGTGGGTGTACCAGCTGAGCTATGCCCACAGGCGCAGGTCCCAAAGGCCTGTTTTTCAACAGCCTGTGGGGGTACCAACTGACCAAGGCATACGGGTGTTGGTCCCACAGGCCTGTTTTGTGACAGCCTGCGGGTGTACCAGTTGAGCCAGGCCTGGTGGCTGATCCCGCAGAACTGTTTTTCAACAGTCTGCGGGTGTACCAACTTAGCTGAGGCTCAATGGTTCTGGTCCTACAAGCCTGTTCCTAGCAGCCTGTGGTTGTACCAGTTCAGCCTGGCCTAAGTTGTGGCTGATCCCACAGAACTGTTTTTCAACAGTCCGCGGGTATACCGACTGAGCTGGGCCCAATGGTATCAGTCTCACAGAACTGTTTTTCAACAGTTTGCGGGTGTACCAACTGAGCTTGGCCCAGTGACTGATTCCACAAGCATGTTTCAACAGTCTGCGGGTGTGCCATCTGAGCTAGGCCCAGCGGCACCGATCCCGCAGGACTGCTCACGCTCAAACCTCTCACAGCACAACGTGGTGGGCGGATGGTGCACCCGCAGGCGCTGGTCTCGCCACTCAGGCTTTTTCCGCCTCGTGGGCTGATCACCCACCGCTCGCATGCATGTTAAACCCGGAATCCTCGGACCGCGCTTCAAAACGCGCAGGATAGAGGAACTTCGCCAGCATCCCGAACACGCAGGAACCGGAACGGGCTCGCCGAAAGAGGCGCGTGCTCAAGGTCCTCGACTACCGTGACGGCCACCCGTGGGGGGTTTCAATCGCTCCCTACCGCAATGCCGGTCACAGCAGCCCATGCTGGCAGGCACCCTATGTCCAACAAGGGGGGGCGACAACGCAGTTGCCGTCCACCCCTGCCCAGATGCGAACGCACAACTTCCCCTCCCTCCGCCTCTCGCTCGGCAATTTCAAGCACTCTTTAACTCTCTCTCCAAAGCTCTTTTTGGTCCTCCCCTTGCCGTATTTTTTCACCGTTGGTGGTATCGGAGCCAGCTTTCCGACTTGGTCAACAGATGGGAAAACAAATAAAATTAAAAATAAAAATAAATCAATAAAATTAAAAATGGTACAATTGAAGAGGACGGGGTTCTGTCGATGCCCTTTTGGTCCCCCAGTCGAACCCAGGTTTGGGCCCGTCCGGCAAAACCAAGGGGGATAGTCCCCTAAGACCCTTGGCGAAACCCAAGTCTGAACTAAGGAGGGGCAAACCCACATATGAATAGTCGCGGGACCGTGGTTGGTCCTTCCCGCACAAACCAGGTCTCCACCTTGCCCTATCGGCCAATCTCCTGGCCGTCTGAAGATGCTGAGATGTCGCCTGCGCCTAGGATCATAGCTATCTAGCATCCAGGTCATCGGGTGCTTTTCATATTCTGCCAACTTTCGACTTTCCCCTCCCCATACTAGATTTGCCAACTCCTTGCCTTTCCGTGCGTCGCCAAACACAATGATTTTCCATGCGCGTGCACAAAGTAGGGTCTTTACCTCCTTTGCAACGCATTCCGCCTGAGGCTGAGCCGGTTCGTGGAGTAAAGCTAGTCTTTATAAAAGAAAAAAATATATAATCAAACTGAAAACTATAGAAAACGTAACCGGACCCTATGGCTTGACGCCTTCCTCTGGCCTAGTGTCGCCGCTGTTAGACAACCATCTCACAGTGCAACGCAATAATGCGTGCCCCACACACTCTCTAATTCAATCATATTTGACTCGAAGACTTGCCAAAAGCGAGATTGCCGAGATAAGCGCCGTGACGCGATTTACCTCATCAGCGTATTTCATTGATCAAGGACGCACCCAGTGCGACCTTTAAAAAGGACGGCAAATACCCTTGTAAGGGTGTTTGCTACGACAGTCCTCCCAGACCCCATTAAGCGACGTCCTCGTCGCTTTGGGTAAGGAGTAGAAAGTTAAGGACGAAAACACAGGTGAATGCATAGACTGAGCAGATGGACAACCAAATCCGTATAATCGGAAGGACTCAGCTTGGGGTTTGGTATTCTAGTTCTGCGGCGTCCCCATGGCGAGCAGGAGTCCAACCTGCACCTCCTGACTGAGTCACAGGGATACTTTCTTTATAATACCGCCCTAGGTTAGCTTCAGTGTTCAAATACCAACCCTTTCCGTTTGTCCTAGACGCCTTCCGACTTTTGTTGGGTGCCGTCTGAATCGGGCTGTCAAGATGCTGTCATCTTCGGGCGCGGGTTTTTAGGCAAGACAACTGCCCTGAGTGGGACAAACTGCAGCACACAACCAACGCAGATAGTCCACCCTTCCAGAGTAGCTTAAGCAGACTTAAAGCATACTCCTCCAGGTAGCTCATTTTGTAATAAAAAAATTAAGCAGCATACTCCTCTGAGTGGCTTATCATATAAAAGCACACCCCCTTTGAGTAGCTCAACTTGTGACAGGCATAGTGTTGCACGTAGGTCACTCCATGCAATTAAATCAAAAACTTAGCCCGACCCTGCGTCTAGTCACAGGTGGGTTATAGTCCTCCCCTCATCCCACCATAGTTTGGATGATCGGGCCAAACTACGGTTCATCGCGTCATTAAGCCACGATGTTGCCTACATTGGTTGCTCAATGCTAAGAGGACTCTCTGACTTTTGGACCTAAGTACCCCCTAGTCGTCGCCCTAATTAAATTCTTTGGAGTGACCCAATACTTGGCTTAAATATTTAGCCCTCCCCTATGATGGTTGTAATAAGGATAGTAAATAATAAAAATAATATTAATAATAGTAAATGATAATTAATAATAATAACCATAATAGCCCGTTTATATAATTATATATCATGGATGATGGTGCAGGTCACTCCACCGTCTCTAAGTTCAAGCTAAGCTAGGGGTCCGCTGTGCTGGTTAGGCGGGACAGCAGCCCACGTTGGGGGTTGCCCCAACGATGCCGATTTTGCCCCCGGCTTAGGCCTCCAAAAATACTCTTGAGCCAGCTTTCAATGCTTGTAGTCGTTCTGCTTGATCATGACAGATGCGACCACCGGCCCGAGAGCCTCACAAACAAGTTTCTCTTCCGAAGAAACCCCTCATTATATAAACATCTCTTCTCAAGCTTGGTTATCCACTGACAGTTTTTCGCAAAAATCAAGGCTTTATTTATCCTTACGGAACAAGTTATAATCCTAAATTTTTACTTTCATCCCGCATACATAAACAGGTGGCTCCTCAAATGGGCCCCCTCCCCTGAGACATACGGGTGGCTCCTCAAGCGGGCCCCCTTCCCATCAAACATTTAGGCTGCCTTTCCGATTCAGCCTTTTTCCATGCATTTTTGTCGAACAATTTTTCATTGACTCTCACACACTAATTCATATGCAATCAAAGTTAGTAACCATTTTGTTCAATAATCAAACAACTTACTCACAATCACAAACAGATACAAACATCACACATGCAAGGGAAGTGAGCACAAGTCCACACTGTGAGAATATTCCATGGCTCCCTGTTTCCTCACAAAACTCATGAGTCTGAATCAAACCCGTCAATAGGGCATACTAAAAAAAAAATGGTCACAAAGAAAAGTCGTAACACAATATCGTGTCCCGCACGATATATCCTTAGGTGTGATACCCACAAAGCCCCACTCCGGGTTAAGAAGGTATTCTCTTTAGGAGCCTTACCAATCAAACCCCCCTTGTAGAGACTGCACTACGCTCTGAATCTCAGAGCTATCATTAAGAATCGAATGTCTTAAGTGGATATTACCATCCGAATATTGGAGCACTGCTTCCGAACGAAACAACGTATCTCACAAAAAACACTCACTAACTCAATGTCCTAACCTACATTGTCACACTCATATCAAATACACATAAATCTCACACAAAACTCAGACAAAACTCACACAAAGCTCACACAAAGCTCACACAAAAAACTCACACAAAATTGGACCCTCAAGTCCAAGGCAATCTCTGAAACCCCTACTCAAGCCAACCTACTAAAACTAGTAGTCTATCATGTATATACAATCGACCGAAACACATGTCAAATCCAGTCACCAACTACATATAATACACGGCTTTGTCCTGAAGCCTGGGGTCAAAAACTCTCAATATACAAATCATGAGGTAAACAAGTTCATGCTTCCTAACCCTCAAAGTAGAAGATACTAATAATATGCAATGAGCCCAATGGTCTATCTCTCATAACAATCACCTCGTCCTCATCGATTTTCTCTCTGACCTCGTCCAAGCGTCTCGTGGATACGCAGTCCATCACTCATTATCCCTCAGCTCAATGCTTAGCCTGTCATACACAGCTCTCCTAGCACCGTGACGTCTTCTCGGAAGAAGGGTGCCACGCATATCTCTGACTCGTCCCTGTCCGTCAAACTGTACGACTCGTCTCCTAAGGTCATCCTGGAAGGCAGGGCAAGCAACCCTGTCGTGCCCTCCTCTGTCACACCATGAGCACAGGTCATCAGTGCTACTATCCTCGATCTTCGCCTTCTTAGACACGGGTAGGGTCTGAGGTCGTGCCCTCTCGAGTCGGATTGTCACATCCTGTACGACTCTACCCACCGTGTCAGGACTCAACATCCTCGGGGCCCTCTTTGCTGTCGCCTCCTCGTCACATCTCTCAGACTCTGAAGAAAGGAGGTGCACTATGTTATCCATCGGCCCCAAAGCTGGAGCTGGTGTAAATGGAAGAGTCATGGGCAGTAGTGTCACTGATTCGCTCGTGTTCTGCTGTGGCATGACGTCTCGTGGCTCTGAAATCCTCTCTTGCTCGTCGTGCCTACCACCCATCTCTCGCCATACACCCCCTTGAACAGCCAACTCTGAGGGAGGGACCCAGTCCAAACCACGTGCCTCTGCCTCTCTCCTCCTCTTGATCTCGTCTGGCTCAAGCATGAGCTTGTCGACGACTGCAGCCTCCTCACATGTCATCCGTATAGCCCCGAGTGGCTCCTCCGTCTGTGAGTCTCGCTGAGGGATGTCCAATCTCACTGCCCTTGGCTCAAACCCATGAGAGACGTGTGCCTGTCCGATAGAAGTCTGCTCCCTCTCAGTCCTCCTCTCGTTGACCAGACCTGCCATGGCCTGACGCCTCTAACTCTCCTCTAGGAGTAATCCTCTGCTCGAGCCTCAAGGTGGATTGTCTTGCCCGCTCGGCGCTGGTGACAAGATCACGTACCGTGCCCCTCAGTCCTCTATTCTCCCGCTCCAGAGCACCGATCCTCTGTACGGCATCCTGAAGCACCTCTCCTCGCTTAACCTCGGTCTGCGTGACTCTTCTTACATGCTCCATCATGCCTGCCAACTCTCGTACTGAGGCGCCACATAATAATCTCGCCTGGAGCCCCTCCTCCGCCTGTGTACGCTCGCCCTCCGACATGGGATCCTCTCCAGTCCGTCTCCTCCTCCTAACCTCCTCCTGCCATCCGGCTGTGGCCGCATCCTCATAGAAGAGTCTATGTGTCTGCTGCTCAGTCTCTCGCCGTAACCTGACAAGAGTCGACACCTGGCTCTCCAACTGAGATGATTGCACAGTCTCAAAGACAACCCTGCGCACGAGCCTATCCCTGTTCGTCGCGTCAGCAGGTGGCTCATACTCCCTGAGAATCCTTTGAACCTGGGCTCGCCAATCACTCGCCTCTCTCTCCTGTATCCTGAGCACCGCCTCAGCCTCCTCTAGCGTCTGGACCTCTCTTCCCTCAACAAACGTGTGGAGATCACTCACCACCTCTCTCAGTGCATCGTGCTCCATCTGTCTGTCGCAACTCAACTCAAAGGATCGAATGGCAATTCTCCTCGTGTAATCCCGAACCTGCTCTGTCGCCTGTCAAGCTGCTGCGAGGCCACTACCAATATAGGTCCTCTGCAAGGTTAAGTCATTATACAGTACCCTGAGCCCACCAGTGGTCTGATCAACCGGCAAGTGCGGTCTCGCGGCCTGGCCCAATCGCTCAAAAGCCAGCCAACCTGGAAAATGTAATGATGGCATCTGTCCTATCCCCTCGGCTAGCCATGCATCCCTCCTTACAGGCTCGTGACCTATCGGCCCTCGAGACTCCGGCAAGCTCTCCTCCTCATAAGTCGGAGATGCGTCCTGGGTATGCTCTGTGCCTGCCTTAGTGTGCCCCCTCATACTGGCCTTAGCCTGATCACCATCTCGTTGTGGAGTATCCCTAAAGTCTAGTGGTTACGTCTCCACTCGCTGGGTCTGCATGTCCTCCGTGAGACCCTCTCTATCTAGCCCCAAAACCTCGACCTCAACTCGCTCTGTCTCCATGTCCATGGGCGAGGGTCGGGATACCTCCTGTCGCATCTGCATCCTAGGAGACTCCATGTCATACAGCTGGGCAGTCAATGAACCCCTAGGCTCAGTTGGCTGCTCAGCCAATCGACTCTCGCTCAGTAACGACGATCCGTCCAATGATGAGGGTCCCATCGCACCTCTCTCACCATCCTCCACTGCCGGCCTTGACCGAGACTGGACCCTCTGCCCATCATGCCCTAGCTTATCATGCATCGGCGTCGTCTCTTGCAGCCACTCAGGTTGAGGCTCCTCGTGCTCCTGCATCGGTACTATAGTGGAAGGCCCTATCATAAGCGGTAGCTCCCTTTGTGGGAGATCTAATGCCATGTCCCGTGTGTCTCTCCATCGATAAGGTCTCTCTGATGCAGTATTGGGAACCACTTCGTCCATGGTATCAGTCTCTGTAGGCCGGGCGGAAGCAATCGTCAACACAAGCTGTGGGGTAGCCTCCTCCCCATCCTGTCTGATCATAGGTTGAGCACACTCATCCACATCAGGCGCACCTCCAGGATCACAGCCGCTGATCCCTACTTCAGCCGGGCATGTCTCTTGTATTGGTGATGTCCCAATCTCAGGGATAGATGAATCGTCTTGCCTCTAAGATCCTATCGGTAAGGTCTCTGTGAGTAAGTACAGTTTAGCTGCCTTGGGGTAATGAGCCAACACGGATTAACCTCATTTAGAATGTACCGGCTTGTCTGATACCCCGTTGTTCAGACCCAAAAGTGTGAGCTTTCCTGGGATGAGAAGGTAAAACGAAGCTGGGTAAGGGAGGACAAGAGGTGTATGTAGTTCGGTGTAAAGATGGGCAAATTGGATCGGATTTCTTGGTATTTTCCGTTCAACTAGATCAATCTGCTGGTAAGGAGGAATTGAACCTGGCCCCACCAGAATCCGGAGAAAGAGACAATCAGTTTTCCGGCTGAGCAGTCAGGTGACGCTCAGTTAATACTCTCTCAATACTTGAGAGTTCAAATTTACTCACAGCCTCTTATCAGTATCCAATCAGTTTCTTAGTCAGTATCCAATCAGTTTTTCAGTTAGTATCCAATCAGTTTTTCAGTCAATATCCAATCAGAAAGGCAGTCAGTATTCAATCAGTTTTTCAGTCAGTATCCAATCAGAAAGCCAGTTAGTACGCAATCAGTCTGTTCAATCAGCATCCAACAAGAAAACCGGTCAGCATTTAAACGGTTTGTTAATCAACATTCAATCAAAAAGTCAGTCAGTGATCAATTAGAAAACCAATCAGTTTCTAACCTGAAAGAGTTCAGACAATATTCAATCGGGAAAATCAGTCAGCATACATTCTTAGTGTCGGCCAACATTGGTCTACCTTTCTCTCTTCCTCTCGCAGCAGGCCGCCACTGGTGAACCGCCCACTAGCCTGCTGAAATCCTCCTCTTGGGACCCTCGTCTGCTGCTGATCGCTACAGGGTTCAGAGTGTAGGTCTCCTGGCTTGAGATTAACACAGAGAAAACCCAGTGGAGAAATGGGAGACAGTGATACAGTTAGAGTGACTTGTTTGCTGCATCAATCCATAGCAAGTGATTGAAGAGAGACGGTTACCGATGACTACAATTTCCAGACAACCATCATGATGGAGCATGCACTGACACTCGTGAGAAACCACACCAAAATCGAATATACCTACTACTTGTATGACAAAAGCGGAAAACTGTGTGCGACCATCTCGTCCGTGGGTTCCGTTGAGGAGGCAAGGAGAACCATTTGCAGATACAAGTAAAATGAAAATGCTCTGGACAGAAAATGAATAAGGGAAGGTTGGGTCACGTTGGAAACTAGTAGCTACCAGAAAATACTGCTAACCTGCAAGACACGAGGATGAATGACAAGCAATTATGACGCAGTAATCACAAACAAATCAGCGATTTAGAAAGCAACCAATAATCTCAACAGTAGCCCGTTCTGCAAACAGTAATCTCAACAGTAGTCAGTTCCACGACAAGCAACCGGACCGGTGATCAGTTCTCGACAATCAGTGCTCGACATTCATTTAATCAGTTCCTAGCGATCAATTCTCAATGATCGGTACCCGTCAACTGCTTATCAGTTTTTCAACAGATGACGCATAATAAGCAGCTTTTCAGTGATCATCTAATCTGTTTGTACTGACTAGTCTACCTATGAGTACAGTCGAATCTTTTCGGGTCAGCGATTCAGTGCTGGCTAATCTCAGTCAGATTTCTGGCAAGGAGGCTTTCTGCTATCAGTATGTTAGCGCCGTTGGGTTCACGCAGGGAGATCTGTATGTCTTCGTTGTCCAGACCAGTTTTGTTGATGGCACTATCCACGATCTGAAGCCTTATCTGAAGAAGGGCAATGAGACTCATGAGCATTTCGATCCAGTCTGGATCTCAGCCACCGACTACCTCGAGCAGAGAGAGAGGGAGTTCGATGAGAGTGGCACTATGCTGATCCGCAGCTTTGGACCGAAGCTTTATACGGACTATCCCAGGCCTCCAGTTCCTTCCCTCCTCACAGATGGCACGAGTTGGCTTGATATGATCGGCTTGGCAAAAAGGTACATCTTTCCAGCAGTGATCGACATTAGGGCGTTGACTGAGCCCATCGAGTACCCCTACCTTAGACGAGGGGTCTTTTCAGTGGATGGGCTGCCTACATTGTGGGAGGAGTTTTGCTCCATCGTTAATTTTCGTGTCATGTATCTTTGATGGTCGTGTTCAGAGCTTGCTGGCTTTAGGTGGCTCTTTGTCACGAGGCCTCAATCTCAGATTGTACGTGGGCGTGGGTCACGACACCAGAGATGATCAGTGAAAAGAGAGATTGAGAGAGACTGACAAGAGGGATGAGTGAGGACTCTTGAGAGGTGCTGACCATGCTCGTTTATGTGTACTTCCTGAGATTATTATGAGTTCCCATTCATCCTTCATTCATTTGATCTAGTCCTTGCTCGAGTCAGTCATTCTCACTTCTTTGTACTGTCATGCTTGATGTTTGCACTCTTTGACGACCTTGTCACAATTCTCAAAGTCAGAATGACTCAATTGATGTATGTATAGCACCCCATAATTTCTATGATTATTTATTTGCATGATGTTCAGCTGTTTCGAATCAAAATAAAATATTCCTAAGACCGGGGACCGGTGAAGACTGTAATTGAAGGGTCTCGCTCGAAGCCGGACGCACACAACAGGAAAGGATTTGCATTATTTGATTTATTTATTTACTGGAATCACATACAAAATCCTGCGTGACAGCCTGTTGACTTTCCGGCCGCCCGAAGTGGCTTGGCTGGAAAAAGTGCGATAGCGTGGGCTGCAAGGGTCATTGTTAGTCGAATGTTCTGAACATGCTCGTGCTTACCTTGGGGCAGTGGTGCTGAAAGTTGTAGTGGGAGGACACTTAAGTGGCAGAGGCTGGAGTAGTGTTGCATAGCCAACCCTAGTTGGGAGGAATGAACTGTCCAGTAAAGTTGACAGATCAAAAGTTACTCTTGATTCTATGGGAGGCGGGGTACGGCTGTTTGACAGGACGAGGACTGTTTGACTGAGATTTCCTCTGAGCAGCCACGAATGGATGGTGTATTCGCAGATGTGTGTTGCGGGCGTGTGCTGAAATTGTAGTTATTTTTGAAAAGCGGAAAGCCGGGTACAACAACGGCTTTGTGGCCGTGTTCTACAAGACGGGCGCAAGGCATATGATTCCCGAGTTGGTGATGGTTGGTACGATTACTTCTACTCTTTTACTAAAGTTGTTATTTGTATTCTGAAGTAGAGCACAGGGCGAAAGGGTGTGCTCTATTCGATCGCAACTCTTCCACGTTGTGTAACGATCGTTTGGCCTGGGGTAGTAGCATCTCGGTTTGAGGGGTAGTCTGACCTTATATAAGGGGTCTTATTACTACAAGTTGGAAGGTTGTCAGGATGTCAACCATCAGCGATTGACTTTTGGTTGACCAGCGGCTGTGCATTTTGGCCACCATTGCGGGGTCCTCAAGAGATTGAAGATTGCAAGGCCCTCTCCCGCGAGTCTGAGCGCACCTCCCTTATATCTGAGAGCCTGAACTTTCTTTTTCTGCTTTTCTCACTCTCAGTCTAGTCTGTTTTGGATCTGAGAGGAAGGCGGCAGGCGGGATTAAGACCCGTAATCCGCGGCAAGGCTTCTGTGGGAGGTTTGCCCCACCGATTGCGGGAACTCTGTCGGAGCCCAGGCGGGGTTTTGGAGGTAGGGAACACTCAGGTATAATGCCCGTTTACGCGTGTGATCCCTTCCCCTAACTGTTATCCCTTTGGATATCCGAATATAACTATGACAGGTTATTACTTTTTATTTTGTTATGTACGTCAGAACATGCTTTGTGAAAGGCTAAATAAACAAGTATATATATGAGAGTTCAGATAATCTCTGAGTGAATTCAGACCAAAGGAATTCAGATAAAAGGAATTGTGGGAAGGCGGGAGGAAGGTGTTTAGCATGCGTTTGACCGGGTCAACCCAAGGCTAGATCCCTCTAAGTTGAGTAGGTTGAGTGCTGTGTTTTATTTATGTTTCCTGGACCGAATGTATGATCTTTTGGGGCTGGGCCTATCCTAAGTTGGACGGTCCAACCACTTGTTTTCCTTTGGGGTTTCTGAACAGGAGGAAGGGCACCCTAAGTTGAGAAGGCTCAAAATCCTGATGTTTCTTTTGAGGTTGCTGAAAGCAGAGTTGGGGGTATTCTAAGTTGCGTAGACCCAATCCTTTGTGTGTTTTCTTATGAAGGAGACAAAGGCGTAAGACTAAGCGTACCCCTAAGTTGGGGCGGTTTAGTCATAGGGCATGAACAAAAAGGTCAACCAAATGTATATAATTTTGATATATATCATAGGAATCTTTATCAGCTGACAGACCGGGCACCCTAAGTTGGAAAAGACAGTCAGTAAGTCAGGTAGAACAAAAAGAGAAGAGAGGCAAGTGAAGAATATAATGAAGGTAACCCGGGCAGGCTGAGCGTATTCTTAAGTTAGGGCGGTTCAGCCCTATGCTCGTGATGATATAAAGGAGCAGAGAGTTAGTATAAATCTTCTTTTATTTTCCCTTTTAAACATAAGGCATGATTGGACGCCTCCCTAAGTTGGGTAGGTATGATTATCTGCTTAACAAGAGAAAAATGTATAAAGTTTGTGCAAGTATAACAATGGTTGTTCTCTTATATTGTCGTTACGAAAACTAAGCGTACCCTTAAGTAAGGGCGGCTTAGCCATACGTCGTTTGTGATTGTTCAGGCAGATCAGGCGTACCTATAAGTTAGGGCGGCCTGGTCATATTGTCTTATGTACCTAAAACTGTTTAGGCTAGCTAGGCGTACCCTTAAGTTAGGGCGGCCTAGTGATATGCCCTTGTCGTTGACGTGATGTACGTTGGACTTACCCTTAAGTTAGGGTTGTCCGACCTTTTGTTGTTCGTACTTGTTTTAGGCAGGTTAGGCACACCCCTAAGTTGGGGCAGCCTAATCCTATGCCCTACGTAACTT